CCGAGAGTAGCCCGAGCGTAGTCGACAAAATCGACGGCACGATGACATACTGTCGACGTGTGTATGTTACGCCTGCGTATCTTGTCGACTGAATGCACGATGTATACCGCCTACCACGTTCGGTTTGTCACGTCTTGAGTAATTTTATATAGGTATGTACTTATGTGCGAGCGACGAAAAAGAGTCGCTATCGAGTAACGAGGAGATAGAGGAACGGAGCCGGGGACGGAAACGGGACAAAGAGAAAGAGGCGAGAGAGTAAATCCGACGTCTGTCTGGCTTTGCGGATGACGTACTGTCAGCCGGAGTTTTTCACTCGCGAAGCGGAATTACGCGTAAACGAGGACAAGAGCTTCGATCGGGGATCGAGCTCTGGTGCACGTTAGACATCCTAAATCCTTCCTATTAATATGTCGTTTCATCGTTTTGCAGACGATTATGCAAATTTGCATTTCATCACGAGCTGCGCGCAAATTAAATTTATTTTTCAAGTCCTCAGACACGATGTGTTCGCTGAACTTTTTTCTATACTTGTATATCTGAATTTCATGAGTGTGTAAATCAACAAATTTAAATTTTTTGTTTTTATTGTATGTAGACATACTTGACGATTAAATATTTTTCACTGCTGTGCTGTCCATACTAGCGTAATTAATTCCATTCAGCTGTTTACAAATGTATAGAATGTACAATCTCGATCAGGTACAGGTGCGACAGGTTTATGTTGAATGTTTCTAAGATTCTAATGCTTAAACGCAATATTTAAATTGTGGACATTCTATTGACTGATTCTTGTAAGACATTCTATTTAAATGAAAAGTTTAATTACACTTTGTTTGAAAAAGATATAAAAAACGAGAGAGGTACTTCAAGTTTCTCTTTAACATGTTCTTCACGAAAGACTACTTTTTCTAAACAAATCTTCCTCGTTATTATTAATAAACACTTTACTGTTTTACTTCTCCGAATAATTTTTCAATAAAAAATAGTGACTATGGTTGTATGCAATATCGTTCGACAGTCTGGGGATTGGCATAATATTTTCATTTCACGGTGGAATGCCCATCTGTCCCATATAATATATCCGGTGAACCCTGATGAACCTGAAACCACAACCGAAAGTTTGCCCGAGTCATCTTTAAGTCTCAGACTTTTCTTTTTTTACCGCCTCGGTGGTAAATCAGACACGAGGACATAAAAATCTGGTGGTTCGCCAATGATTTGAATCTTCGATTTCGAATTAGTCTCGACGATTTTCGTTCTCGGTATTCGTTCCCAGACACGTCATTGAAAATCCTACGTTGCGCGCGAACAGTACAAAATCTGTTTTGGCTGTTTCGTGCAATTTTCTGTAGAAGTGAAGGGATCGAAGCAAGGACAAATTGCGATTGGTACAATTCCGAATGGTTTTCTCTCGCGACCCTATTTCGGTGATTGGAATGCAGCGTATAATTTCAGTTGGTGAAATTGCCTTATTACTTTCACCCCTATGACTTGTGAATTTTCGCTGGGACAGCTTTTTCACGATCGGCAAAAACAACGAGTAACGCACTGGAGACGCGTGTATACGCGGGAAGTCAAGCAGGAACTGGAAGCTTGTGCTATTTTCTTTTTTAATGACCCGTGTTCTTAATTTTTTTTTTATAAACATTTTATTTTTAGAAATCTTCTATTTCTTTTATAAACCTTTGCCCACCAAGTCCTAGTTACTCAAAGACGTATATTTAACCGAGAATCAAGAGGATCCGTTAAACACACTTATCATTAATTACGCATATCATCGGTTGACATGGCGACACTTCCTGAATCAACACAGCTCGTATCGCAAGATCATTCCCTTTGAATGATGTACATAAAACGTGTCAACGTACAAACGAACAAGAAGCTGTAAATGATCACGGATCGAAACATGGTGGTTTCACGGTGCGGCGGTTCAGATGTATCTAACAAAAGGAAAGATTTGTCTTGGCACTTGTTCGACTCCTCTTTCGTTCGTTTCGCTCCCCTCCGAGTGCAGCGATCGGTGTGTGCCACCAGGAGCAGTGAACGGGCTCCTCTCTTCGTTCTCATCGCGAAAACGTGTAGATATGGTACGCGCTCCAGGGTTCAGGGAGATGACGAGGCTACGCTACGTCGACGTCGACGCAGCGGACGTCCTCTTCGTCCCACGAGAAGAAGATCTCTCGTCTTCGTCACTTTTAGCAACGCACGAGAGACCACCTCCGGGGCACACGAGTGTTTGATAAACCGGTTAAGGCCCGTCCCCGGATCTGTTTGCCTTTGGCTTTTGTAACTTTACTAGTGTTGTGACTCGACTCGGAGCTAACATGAAAAAAGGGTCCGCGATGGTTCCCCGAGCAAACAGTCCGTGTGTGTCCCGGATCAACACGGCGCACGCCTCTATCGGAGACCGTAGGCCTGCTCACCGGTGACCGGGAACGGAACACGCGGCTACGTGGACGAGGACGAGGCGAACACGGCCGGTGATACTTTTCACGATACCTCTGCGCCCGTGATCGAGGAAACCTCGAGTTTCGTTTCACTAACTAGCGTCTTTCCGGGGAACGCGTGTTGTGCCCAAAGCCCCGAGGAGGTTTGTTGTTTGAATAGCGGCTTACAGGGTGAGGCACCAGATAATTACGAAACGTGAGGAGGAAGGAAAATCCTGTCGACCTTCTAATGTGTGTCTTATAGAAGCTCAAAACTGGGGTATTAATCTTTTACTCCTTCAAAGACCTGAATTACAAAATTTCATGATCGTCGTTATGTGCATCAAAAAAAATTTCAATCTTGTTATAGTTTCACAAATTCTATATCTTTATCTATAAATATGAAAGATGTTCTCTTGACGTGATTTTAAAGAGAATATGAATACTTCTAGCAAATTATGTAATTATACACATATTAAACATATGCACATAAAACGATTCAATATCCGCTATCAAAATGAAGAATCCAGATTTTTAAATATCAAAAATTTTGATTCTGATTTATTTTAAACGCAGAGGACCAGTTTCACGGAGCTAGTTTCTCCGATTAATTTATGTTTTTCAAGGCGATTCATACGTCGGTTTGAATTCCGGCTCTGTAGTAATTATACGATTGGTTCTCTCCAGTTGCAATAGTTAATTTATAACCATGCAATTAGATCATTTTTTTTCCAACTCCGAATCAAAATATTCGACCTGCTTTTAATATCGCTTCCCTTCTCTCTCAATCGTAACAGAAATTTTTCCTGTATACATAAATTGAATTTAAGTGGCGGGTGGGCCGACGAGAAGGAAACTGAGACGTAGACTGTACTATATCTTTCACTCTCTGGCCATTATTACCGAAGCCAAATAAACACACGGGGAGCTGACAATGAGTCACGCTGATTAGTTGTACGTTTACTAATTTTTCCTACAAAGATCTATAAATGATTGATGAGGTCATAATCTTGTGCGCTCCAATAGAATCGGTGTCACACGAAGCCACATAAGAGCAATACATCTTTCACCTTATCTGTGTAGAATATAGTGCATGAAAAATATATACATCGTTATCATTGAGAAAAATAACACGTACAGACAACACGTTGATTTGGTTCCGAAACTCAAGATTATCATCGTGAAAGGAAATGTTGCTCTTATGCTGTTCGAGATAACTTTTCTATTAATGTTTAGAAATGACGCAACGTATTCTTAACTGCCCGGAGCACGGATCATTTGTTTTTTTCAAATTAAATTCGACTTCATTCGATCAATTGTGTAATCAGTGAGTTTTAATCATTTAAATTTCAATTGTAATACGCAAGTAATCTTATACCTCCGATTATCTGTTTCATACAATTGATAATACGATTTTTAGACTTAGCAAAATTTGTTTGCACCCAGGCATTGAAGATAGGAATTCAACGATAAACGAATTGAGCCTCTAAATATGTAGTTACAAATGTCTTATCAATGTATAGTTTCAGCAAACAGGTGCAAAATTATCACAGAACTCCAAGGTGGTAAACGGTTTTATAAATGGATGATTACTTTTCCCTATTTCAAAGTATAGATAAAGAGTGATTGCACGATGTGTGATATTACTATACAATAATGTGTAAATTGATGAAACAATTATGCTTAATCGATATCATTATTGTGCAATTATGATAATCGAATCCATTTGTCCTCGAACGCACCATTGAATTACAAAAACTGTATGTAATTAGATAACAAAAACTGCTAAAAATATGAATTTTCTTTAAAAGCAAGGAAACCGTTCAAGAAATTACCTTAGCATTATAAATAGTTGATACTATTCTTGTTCTATTGGAAATGATTAATCGTTGTGTACACGAATGAAATATGTTAAGCAGCTGATACCTCAGATTATTTTTAATAAATCGATCGTAAATGAACGTGCGATATCATCGAAACGATCGTAAACGTGAAAACTGTCACAGCGGAAATAATTATTCATATGAAAAAGGTGAATAATTTGGATAAAGAATTTTCTAGTTCCTTAACGTGGAGAACAATTAAAGTTCCGACGATGTACAAATGTTCGGAATTCGCCTTTTTTGCGAAAAGAAGGTTTCTATAATCACGCAGTGAGCAAATAAAGAAATGAGTGCCAGAAACATCGTGAGGAATCCTCACGTGTCACTGCATCATTATGTACGAATACAACAAAACTCGTAGCCAGATGCACCTCGTCGTTAGTTCTTTCCCGCATGTGATTCCACGAAATACTCGTGATGGAAATAAATTGCAGTTTTTCAGAAAGGAAACAGGGAAACAGACGGACACGAGCAAATTTATTCGGCCGCAAACTCGTACTACTGATAAAAAGAATTAATCATTTATCATTTATCAAATTCTGATCGATGATGTATTGCGCGACCGAGTTTTGCTCGTGTCGTCGTTCGTCTCCCAGAGAAGAAAATTACGGTTTTCTTCCGACATTCTATAAAGCACGTGAGAAGTGATAGACGTAAGAAAGAGGATAGAATTTAGCAATGTACACACACCGCCTTAGTGTGGCGAGGGCGAACGCTCCGGCCACCAGCAGCTCGTAGATCATCTCTTCCTCGTCCTTCTGCAGGAGAGTCTTCGGCTTCTCCCGTCGATGCCTCTTGCTCGCATCCACTCACGCACTTCCGGTCCCACCGCGGCTCAAGGCTTTTCCGGGAACGTCAGTGTCTTTTGAAAAAGGGATCGCGAAACGAACACGGAATCGGCGACCGGTTTCCGGAGGCCTCGCGTCTCTCGTGAAGCGGTCCGAGAGGAGACGACGAAAGATAAAAGAACAAAGAAAGAAAGAAAAAAAAAAAAGCGTCAGATCGATGTCAGCGTGACATAACAGCGCACCAAAAATCTCCACATCGTGCGAGTATGTTCGCGAGTTTTTCCTCGTGCGATCCCGGTAAATCGACGCCCGGCCGGTCCACTGTGGGCAGTGGCGCGATTCGAACAATCCGTCCGCGGGGGCGCGCGCTAGTTGACATTCGAAGGAACAACGTGTCCTTGTTACGATCCCTTTTGCTCTGCGCAGACTTCCGAGCAGGAGAACCGGCGCGGTTGACCATTCGGCTTGCCGATCTCGTGGTGACTGAGTGGGTCCTCGGTCGCAACTCCCAGTTACTCACTCGGGCTCACGGACTCACTACTCACCTCGCCCTCTCGCTCTTGCTCACGCTCGCTCGCTCACCGCCACTTCGGTCCCACCTTCTTCCCTCCTGCCACCACCTCCTACGACACCCCACCTCCTCCCTTCTTCGGTCTCTGCTCCTCTGGCTACCTTTCTTTCAGGCCTCCCTGCCCTAACTGCCTCCCTCCCTCCCTCCCACCTGCTGTTACACGACACCCTCGTCACGATACCTTGCCTCTCTTTGCGTGGGGGATAGAGCGTACGCGGGCTCGAACTCCAAACCACGATGATTTCATTACGCCCACTCACTTAACCCCCTCGGCATACTTGCAACTCGCGTTTATCGGTTCCACTATTTCATTAAACCGATTTTTAATAAGATATTCTATCTTTTTGTCGTGAAAATGGTATCTACTGAACAGAGAAATCATGCCGTGTTCTCTAGAATCTTTCAAACACTTGTCACGTCAATCGCGAGAGATGTATTTGTAGAATGAATCAGTTGCAAGTATAACTTTATATCACGTGAAAGGAATCGGACTCTTCTAATTATATGTGTGCGTTCGATAGCATCGTGCTTTGATAGGACCAGCTATGATATTGTCTGATACTAGCAGTAAGTGACGTCGATTTTAAGACTGTGACGCGGCGCCTCGATAAAAATTATACCTGCGCATTTACTTGTCTCTATCTATACTGTGATTCGAATTTCTGATTTTTAACGTATATTGAAACTTATTCAATTTCAGTAGATTGTATTTATGAATAAAATAAATGGAGTTGAAAAGTACATTGAATTATTATTACAGTAAACAATGAAAATAATTAATAAGAGGTGAACTAAGCACATGATTGAGAAACAACTCAATCAAATTCTTTCACAAATAGATTTAAATGACTTGTGATCTATAAATATTTCATCAACTCTGACTCGCTGTTTAATATAACCCGTCAATCTAATCGATGTATTTGTATAAAGAAAAATTGCTATAATTCGTTCATTGAGTCGTGGCACCAGAAAAGACAGACCCGGCGATAATTAAGAAGTACAAGGATGTAGTCATAATTATCAAATACAGTTGTTAAGGTTCCACTTATGTTCAATAAGCGAACAACAAAATATGAAACGCAGTAAACGTAAATACGTGTAATACAAATAATAAAATAAAAACCGGAGCAACTAACGATGTGATCTATAGTGATTTGATACCTTTCCAATATATAATTGATATTAATAATCGCTAAACACAACATTGATTAACATCCATTCCCACCGTTGCATAGACGCATCTTTTCCTATAGTGCCTCGTCTCGCTGCATCGACTATGGCTTATAGATTCTCGCACTTTTAAGTATGTTTCATAAAGTTTACATTTGAAAGAAGATAACGAGCACGACTCGACTCGAATTATTTCGACACATATCCATTAAAAGTCGCAATCGAAAAGTAAATGTATTAAGGCGACTAAAATTTTGCAAATAATAACGATTCGCCCGATAAGAAACAGGATGAGCACATTCGATACTTTTGATGCAGGTGCGTACATACTTACATACTTACATACATACATGCATGTAATACAAATAATAAAATAAAAACCGGAGCAACTAACGATGTGATCTATAGTGATTTGATACCTTTCCAATATATAATTGATATTAATAATCGCTAAACACAACATTGATTAACATCCATTCCCACCGTTGCATAGACGCATCTTTTCCTATAGTGCCTCGTCTCGCTGCATCGACTATGGCTTATAGATTCTCGCACTTTTAAGTATGTTTCATAAAGTTTACATTTGAAAGAAGATAACGAGCACGACTCGACTCGAATTATTTCGACACATATCCATTACAAGTCGCAATCGAAAAGTAAATGTATTAAGGCGACTAAAATTTTGCAAATAATAACGATTCGCCCGATAAGAAACAGGATGAGCACATTCGATACTTTTGATGCAGGTGCGTACATACTTACATACTTACATACATACATGCATACATACATACCAATCGCGAATGAAACGCAACGATGCGACGCGGCGCGTCGTATACGTCACTGATAAGATATTATGCTTCGCGATTAGATATGTCGCGTCGCACACTTTGATCAAATGATTGCGAGGGACTCGTCACATTTACGTGCTCGATAACCGGAGACGCGACAATTATCTTCGCGCGATTTCGATGAACGTGTACGTACTATGTATAATAGTACGTAATATCGTATATCGGGGATTGGTTCGTAAGTTGTTTCGAGATTTTCACGCTCCGGTCCTATTAGTGTGCACAAATTATTCGAATATTATGCGCAGCAAATTAGAAGGCACCGCCGAGGTGGCCCCCACTGCAAATCTGGACGATGCGATGCGACGGGTACTGGTCGCCTCGGGATTTTAATTTAACGATGCGCGCGCGCTGTCTTAACTCTAGCCCTCGGGATATGCAAGTCTCTCGCGAGAATTCATCCACAAGGGGATCGAATTACCGCGCCAATTATGGTGTCATGTCGTTAATTACTCGATAGTTCAGTGTAACCGCGTGTGGTGGAATATGGAAGGTTCTTCCATAAACCGTGTCTCTTTTAGTTCAACGGAAGTTGTTAATCTTCTGTTAAAATTATTTTTCAGTGTCGAATGAGAGAAATGATAAGACAAGAAATGTGATGCGTACATTGGTAAAGACAGGTAAAGATAACTGGTAAAGACAAAATGCCTTTTTATTTTGTCTGAATTTTTGTATTTTGTCAACTCATGCTCGTTTATACGATTGTTAATCCAAGCGATTAACAATGTTGAGTCATAGCAGTATGTGTAATACATACAGATCGTAAATATTCGTACGCGTTTCAAAATCGAATAATTTTTTTAATATTGGACTCAATGAATCAATTTTTTTTAAAGTACAGAGAATAGTTTACTATGTGAAGTATAAAAAAAATTAAAGAAAACTGCTACAAGGGCATAAATTACAGAATTATTCAGTTTTCTAATCTAAAGCGCTGTGTTAAGATGTCGATTTTAATAATAATCTCTCTAATACCTGAAGAAAATTAATTCGTTAAATCCGATATTAAAAAAGTCATTCAATTTTGAAACGTGTACGAATATTCATGAATTTCACTGAATGTCTACACAATACGTAAGTACCAAGAAAAGATAACTGCAACGTTCGATTTACTTTTGAAGATCTTCGTTCAATTGTGTTGTATTGACAATGCCTGACAATGAAGCTAATTTACTGATAAGAATCAACGCAACGCAGAACGTATGCCGAGGGTTTCCCCGAGTTTCATTATATCTGTTCTTACATTTTCTGTTATATAACGCGGCGTGAGGCGCTACCTGCTTTCCGAGACAACGACACAATCGGCGTGCCCGTACTTCGGGCAGGAAAAATGGAAAATTCTTGTTACGCAAGACTAACTCCTGAAATCGGTCGATTTCTCGGCACGGTCGTTGTTTCCGACACTATGGTGTCGATGCAGGTGTCAAGTTTTTGCTAGTCATTAGAACGGAAATACGTGGCACCGTTGCAACGTCTCGTTTCTCGTTTTGCCGCGGACACGTTTCTTCAGGTGATTCTTTCGTCAGCTTCGAGAGAACAACGAGGAAGCAAAACAACCGAGAAAAGTTTTATTACGGTTGGTAAAACTGTCCGATTTTTGCTTCGTTAAAACATCGTTACGCGCGAAATGTTTGACGAAAAAGTTACGATACATATTTCGCTCGGCTTAATTGCGAACTGCATTTGAGGTTTGCTAAAGCAAAAATAAAATATCAAGCGAAATGACTAAGCGATCTGCTATTGTGCATACAAACAAATTGAAGAGCTTCATGGTTGGTTAAAAAGTATTGCATTAAAAAAGTTTCATTCCGATAAAACAATTGACGAATTATATTATCATCCAGATATGATCATCTGTACGCTATCAGTACCTTAATCGCAAATAGTTCTCGGATCGTGTCACTATTATAGTTAGCTAGCCGGGAGATAAAGTTATTTTATACGACAGGTAGCAACCAGTGTGCATGAAAGATGATTCATGTTTTGATAACCAACCAACACGTAGGTTTGTTTGCACGTTAAACATTATTCTGCTCAACAGGAAATTATGTTTATTCTCTACTTAAACGTGAAAATACAAGAATGAAAAATGTACTTTAATTACAAAATATTGGAAATTATCGTAAATAAATACGAAGTGAGAATCCGAGAAGAATTCAATCGAGGTATAAGTTTCCTGTTATAAAATCACTTGCATAGTTGAAATCAGAGTGATTATGAGAACGCCGCATTCCTCGTTCGTTACAGAAAACCCTTAGAGGAAGCGCCACTTCTTTCGTTTCTTTTCGAGAATCGAGTCGCGGGTAAAGTACGATAAAAGAGACGACGCGCGATGTGAATGGCGATCCGAGCTCGGGGCACGAGCGATTTGCCACAGGCGAGTTCGCGCCTTCTCGATCCAAGCAGAAGCTTGAAATCCATTAGTTCCGTTGAGGTACGGGTCGAGATCAGCCATCCACCCCGACCGAGGAACCGCTGTGATCAACGATAAAAAAAAAAGGTGTCGCTACCAGGGTTCCCCGGATCTTGCTTTTACAGAACACGTAAACGCGCTCCTTACAAAAGAAATCATACACGTGACAACGCGACGCAGCCGGGTAATATGTGTGTCTAGGGGAAAATAAAAATAGCCGAGTATGCAGTTATGGTAAAATCGATGAAACCGGCATTCCTTGAACTGGAATATCTTCTTTAACCGATCGGCTCGTGACGCGATCTTTATAGAACTCTCTGCGCTAATAATAATTAACAGGTTGCAAATGTCGTGAACGCGATACGTACGTACGTATAACGTTTGTACTAAACCGTCGAAGGAGAAAGGAAGAAGGTATCTTACGCTATGCGTGTAGTCATGGAATGCACAAG